GGGCACCTGTGTGGCTGTGATTCCTCAGGCAAGCTATTTATGTTTTTCTCCCAGGCGGCATACAGCAGTGTGAAAAATGTCTGTTCAGTAGATTCAATTTGTTGCTACGTTGTTGAGAACTTTTGCCTCTATGTTCATGAGGGATATTGGTCTCTATATTTTTTCATTTTAATCCCCTGTCAGGTTTGGTTTCATGGTTACACTGGTCTCATAAATTGAGTTAACAATTATTTATTCCACCTCTCTTTTATGAAAGAGTTTGTGTATAATGTTTATTATTTCTTCTTTGTGTATATGATAGAAATTGCCACAGAAGCCATCAGTGGCTAACATTCTCTTTGTGGGGAAATTTTGAATTGCAGATTCAATTTCTGGAATAGGTATGCTACAATTCCAGTGTTCTGTTTCTTGTGCCAATTGGTAACGTGTTTTTTTTTTTTAACATTTTATCTAAGATGTTAATATTTTGGCTTGAAGTTATTGATACTATTCCTTTATTATCTTTTCAATATATTTAAGATCTATAGTGGTGCCCCTCTTTCTGAATATTAGTAAGTATGTCTTCTCTCCTTTTATTTTATCAGTAGTGCTGTGAGTATATCAATTTTACTAATCTTTAAAAAAAACCAATTCTTGTCTTTGTTATTTTCCTATTACTTTCTCTTTTCTGTTTCATTGATTTCCACACATATGTTATTTCTTTTCCTATACCTACTTAAGCTGTACTTCATGAATTTTGATACATGGTGATTTTATTACCATTGCTTGACTTTATCTGTAATTTCCCTGTTGATTTCTCATTTGACCCATTGCTTAGCTAGAAGTATTGCTCAATTTCCAAATATCCAGGGCTATCATTTGTTTTGGTCTGAGAACATATTCTGTTCAATTTCAATCCTTTAAAATTTATTGAGTTTTGTTGTTTTGTTGTTATTATCCAACATATGGGTTATCCTGATGAGCTCATGTGTGCTTGAAATAAATATGTGTTGTACGGTTGTGTATAGTGTTCTATAAATATCAATTAAACTGAATTGCTTTGATAGTGTTATTGAAATACTCTATTCTTACCATTTTTTTCCTGCACGTTCTATCAATTACTGAGAGGAAAATGTTAAATTCTTCAATGATTATGAATTTGTTTATTTCTCCTTTCAGTTCTAGCATTGTTGTAAGCCTCATCTATTTTGAAGCTCTGTTATTAAAATGTGCACATAAGTAGGAATATTGTATCTTCTTGATGAATTAACACCAATCATTATGAAACATCCCTTTTAGTCTCTAGTAATACTTTAAATTTGATGTTAATAGAGTCACTTGATATTTCTTACGCTTAGGATTTGCATGATGTGTCTTTTTCCATCCTTTTGCTTTCATCCTGTATTTATATTTTAAATACCTCTTTGGTAAACTACATAGAATTGGATCTTGCTTTTTTATCCAGTCTTATCACTTCTGCCTTTTAACTGGGGAGTTCATTTTATTTATATTTAATACAATTATTTATATAATTCTGTCTATTATTTATTCATACCCTCTGTTTGCATTCCTTTGTTTCTCATTTTCTGTTTTCTTTTTGGCTTAATTCTGTATTTTTTTGGTATTTCATTTTATACCCTAAATTGACTTTTTACCTATAACATTTCGGGGTGTATTTCCTCTAAGGATAAGAATACACAACCTTAACTTACCACAGTCTGCTTTATATTAGTATTATACTACTTCATCTAGAATATGAAAAACTTCCTATTATATAATCATCATCCTTTTGCCATGGCATAGATCAGTCTAAGACACAGGAAAGATATTTAAGAATTCATATGGTGGAGAATCTTTATGAATATAATCAAATTGGAAAATATTTCAGAAATACCTTAATATCTACTGTGTAGAAGGTGTTTCATGCTGGAGAGAAATATAATGAGGGTAATTATTATGGAAAAGCCTTCAGCCAGATTCTAAATTTAAATGTGCATAAGAGAACTCATACTGAAGAGAAATCCTATGAATTCAATGGATGTGAGAAAGCCTTCGTTAATCATTCGCTTGTTAAGTCACACATGGGATCATGCACTGGACACAAACCCTATCAATGTAAGGAATGTAAAGAACTCTTCAGCTATTCCTTATGTCTTAGGACTCACATGAAAATTCACATTGGAGAAGAATACTATGAATACACAAAATGTAGGAAAGCTTTTATTCATTGTTCATACACTGCTGTACATGTAAGAAATGACAGTGGAGGGAAGCTGTGTATTCAAATAATGTGAAAAACCTTCCATTTTCTCTCATCTCTTAGAAAATATGAAAACTCTCATTGGAGAAAAATTCTACAAATGTAAAAAATGTGGAAAAATCTTCAGTTGTCCTTCATCCTTTAGAGCACGTGTGAGAACTCATATTGAAAGTATGCCCAATGAATGTAAAAGAATATGAGAAAGTCTTTATTTCTCCTACATTGCTTACAGTACATAAAAGAACTCACGTTGAAGAGAAGGCTTATGAATATAAGGAATGTAGGGAAGCCTTCACTTGTTCTTCAAAGCTTACTCTACAAGTAAGAAAACACCAGAAAAGATCTCAATACATGTAAAGAGTGCACAGTTCCCATTCCTCTTTTAATGACCACATGAGTACGAACACTGGAGAGAGGCCCTATAATTGTAAACAATGTGACAAGTCCTTCTGTCATCCTTCACATTTTACTGTACATGTGATAATGCACATTGGAGAGAAACACTATATGGAATGCGGTTATGCCTTCAGCTGTTCCTCACCACTTAAGAAACCTGTGAGGACTCACACTGAAGAGAAATTCTATTAATATTTGGAGTGTTGGAAAATCTTAACTTACATCTAATTCTTCCAAAGCTATGTGAAAATTCATATTAGAGAGAAACCATACTAAGTGTAAGAAATGTGGGAAAGTATAATTCCTAACACTTCAGTGAATATATGAGGATACACACTGAAAAGAGACCATATAAATGTAAAGAATGTGGGAAAATCTTCAGGTCTTTCTCATTCTTTAGTCAATAAGTGAGAACTCATACTGGGAGATAGAACTGTGAAGAATGTGGAAAATCTTTTAGTTTTCTCTACTACTTCAAAAACATGTGGAAACTCACATTGGAGAGGAACCCAATGAATGTAATCAATGTGGGAAAACCTTCAGGTGCATCTTTTATTATGCATAAGGAAATTCATACCAGAGGATAAAGCTTTAAAATGTTGTAAATATGGAATTGCTTTATCATTGACTGATCTTTGAAGTGATTACTAGCTCACAAATTGTAGTTTTTTATTTTCTAATATAAACCTCTATGATAATACTCTTGCTCCCAGTTATGGAACCACAATGGGAGCATCCTCATTGTGGTTCAAAAAAATCTACAAAAATCCTAAAACTTAACATAATACTTACTGGTAAAATATTGAATGCTTCCCTGTAATATTGCAGACAAGATCAGAAAGTTCTCACTCCTGTTCAACATTATAATGGAAGATCTAGTCAATATAAAAAGCCAGGAAAAATAAATAAAACACACAGATATTTTAAATATTTGTCTTTATTTATAGATGGCATAATTGTGTATGTTTAAAATCTTAAAGAATCTATAAGAAAACTACTGGGACTAATGAATAGATTTAACAAGGTTGCAGAATATAAATTAATATATAAAAATCAGTTATGTTTCTGTATAATTGCAAGTAATAAAAATAGCATTGGAATTTTTACATGTACAGTAGCATTGGAAAGATACATAATTAGAAATAGATTTAACTAAAGATGTGCAAGACTTCTACATTGAAAATTATAAAACATTGCAAAGAGAAATTGAGATTTAAGTAAATGGAGAGAGGTACTATGTTCATAGATTCAAGACTCAGAATTAAGATGTTCATTACCAGAATGAGCTCAACAGAAATGCAACTACAATCAAAATCCACATAGACTGTTTTGTAGAAATTGGCAAGTGATGAGCAAATGTATATATTTTCAAGAGATCTTGCATCAAGACACAGTAGTATTGGCAAAAGGATCAATAAATAATTATTTAAAGAGAAAACTAAATTATTTTAAAAGAAAATAATCAACTTTTACTTTCTAGTATCATTATATACTTGTGGCATTTATGGACTTAACTTGTTTTAATCAAGTGTACATTTTTGGTCCAGTTTTGCAATTAACCTATCCCAATTTGGCCAGCAGGAGACTTCTCAAACTGGCTCCTGCGGGCTTTTCACCCAACTTATAATTTTTCTTTTTTTTATTGGAGTATAGTCAGTTTACAGTGTTGTTTCAATTTCTGGTGTACAGCATGATGCTTCAGTCATATAAGAACATACATACATTCATTTTCATATTCTTTTTCACCATAAGTTACTGCAAGATATTGAATATAGTTCCCTGTACTATATAGTATAAACTTGTTGTTTATCTATTTTATATATAGTAGTTAGTATCTGCAAATCTCAAACTCCCAATTTATCCCTTCTCATTCCCTTCCACCTTGGTAACCATAAGTTTGTTTTCTATGTCTGTGAGTCTGTTTCTGTTTTGTAAATAAGTTCATTTGTCTTTTTTCATATATATATTCCACATGTAAATGATATCATATGGTACTTTTCTTTCCCTTTCTAGCTTACTTCACTTAGAATCTTCAGGTCCATCCATGTTGCAGCAAATGGCATTATTTTGTTATTTTTATGGCTGAGTAGTATTCCATTACTTCTTTATCCAGTCATCTGTCAATGGACATTTAGGTTGTTACATGTCTTGGCTATTGTAAATCAGTGGTGCTGTGAACATTGGAGTGCATGTATCTTTTTGAATTAAGGTTCCCTCTGGATATATGCCCAGGAGTGGGATTGCTGGATCATATGGTAAGTCTGTTTTTAGTCTTTTGAGCAATCTCCATACTGATTTTCCATAATGGCTGCACCAAACTACATTCCCACCAACAGTGTAGGAGGGTTCCCTTTCCTCTACAGTCTCTCCAGTATTTAACGTTTGTGGGCTTTTGAATGATGGCCATTCTGCCTAGTGTGAGGTGATACCTAATTGTAGTTTTGATTTGCATTTCTCTGATATTTAGCAATATTGAGCATTTTTTCATGTGCCTATTTGCTATTTCTATGTCTTCATTAGAGAATTGCTTGTTTAGGTCTTCTGCCCATTTTTGAATTGGGTTATTTGTTTTTTTCTTATTGTATGTGCTGTGTATATATTCTGGAAATTAAGCTCTTGTCAGTCTCATCTTTTCCTAATATTTTCTCCCATTCCGTAGGTTGTCTTTTTGTTTTGCTTATGGTTTCCTTTGCTGTGCAAAAGCTTATAAGTTCAATTACGTCCCATTTGTTTATTTTTGCTTTTATTTCTGTTGCTTGGGTAAATTGCCATAGGAGAACACTTCTGAGATTTATGTTAAATAATGTTTTGCCTGCTTTCTTCTAAGAGTGTCTTGTCTTATGTGTAAGCCATTAAGCCATTTTGAGTTTATTTTTGTGTGTGGTGTCCAACCTATAATTTTGAAACATACTTGTTTTCTGGAAATATAAGAAGTCACAAAATTATTCTATTTTTAATAATCCAGATGTGTATCTAACTATTCCTTAAAAGAGCCTTATTTTTTCCCATTGAATAAAGGTGTTAGAGAACAAAATCTTGGGGTCCTGGAAAGCTGGAAGATTGAGTATAAGTAGTAATGAGTTGGAAGCATGTTGAATATATACAAGTAAACTCGAAGTGTGAAGACCTTTATGTGTTAAGTTGATGGCCACCAGAGGGCATTCCACCAAGGAAGAGTCACTAAACACTGAAATAGACAAAATTATTGATCCATTTGACATCAGACAGCTTCCTTCATCAGCCAGACCACTGCTAGCATGATGAACACATGAACAAAGAGGCTGCAGTGACAAAGATAAAAGCTATTCACGTACCTCACTTATCAAGGTTGATCTAGCTGCTTCCACAGCCAAATGTACAATATGCCAGCAGTAAAGACAAACACTAAACCCTTTATATGGTAGGAACGGCTTCAGTTAACATTGCTCACAATGACCTGCTTGGGAAATTTGTGCTTCCCATTTCAGAAACTCTGGGGTCTGCAGAGTTAGACTTTGTCCCTAAAAGAAAACATTTCCACCAGGGGACATAGCAAATTCCCACTATATAATAAGCTAAAGCTGTAACCTCAGTCCTTTGGGTTCCATTTGACTAAGGTCCAACAGACAAGAGCGGAGCCACCAACTTGACAGGAGAAAGTGACCCTGATCATCAGGAGGAAGTAGGGCTGCTATGACACACTGGGCCCAAGGGAAAATATGTTTGGCACCCAGATGACCAACTTGAGTGCCTCCTGGTACACACTCACCCATTACTTTGGTAATTGGATATATGCAACAATCCCATTTTGAGAAGGGCATGATGACAAGGGCTCGTATCTCTTGGGCATGAAAGTGCGGATTATACCACCAGATAATCCACTGACACCAGCAGACATGCTAGTGAAGGTGAGGAGAAACCTAGAATGGATAGTAGAGAAATGAGACAATGATTATCAGTTCTAACCCTGAAACCATTTTCGGTGGTAGGGACTATAGGTCATCCCATTAAACTTTCTCCTCTAAGTATCCCCCAGGAAGAAAGGCCCAGCAGAACCATGAAGGAGCTGCTCTCTGAATATGTATGAAGAGGATCTGAGCAGCACAGAGAGTAGATTGTAAGGACATGGACATGCACCACTCAGATTCCACTTCCATGAAAGACTTGTTTCTGGGATGCTGCTGGGAATGCCAGGGGTGCTGTCAGTGGGCACTCTTCAGCTGTCACATCCTTACCAGGGCAGGCCACATCCAATGACTAAGGTGGAAATGTAAAGACCCAGCCATTTCAGCCTAACACAGCACAGCTCTAAAGGGCCATTTTAGCTTCAGAATTCTCCATTTCTCTCTCTGCTGAATCCTGCTTCCATCACCTCCACCCCACAGGTGTTAATCTCAAAGAACACACTAGCAAACACCCTACACTCTGTCCCACAGTCTGCTTCCCAGAGATCTTAACAAAGTAACATAGCTCCTGGCTTGTTGTTGGACCACGATAGAGGCTGAACCCCTGACTGTAGGACATAAAGTGAGCATGTCATCTCAGATGCCTGTAATTTACTGGATGTTACCTGATTGATCAAACCATAAAATTGCAGTATGTGTAGCAGCACTCCATCTTCAAGTGGAAGTATTAATACAAGATCATATGTGAGCAGGTCTGGAGAGCATAAATATGTTTCAGGAGTGGAAGGTTTACATTGGCAATACACCTAATGCTCCTGCATTACCTCTGCTCTTTCACTTTACATCTATGGCCTCATGGGGAGTTCCTGGTGATCAGATCACTAAAGAGGGAAAATCTGAGCCTAATTTAAAAATATTTCCACACAGAAATCTGGCACAAACTATAAGGAGGGTACTAGAGTGTTATATCCCACAGGACTGGCTCAGAAGGGCCAAAGGGAAGGGAACCCTTCATGAAGGAAAGGACTTTGTAGGGTGTTTTTGGGTTTTGGTTTTTAATTGAAGTATAGTTGACTTACAATATTATTTTACTTTCAGATGTACAACATAGTGATTCAATATTTTTTAGATTGTACTCCATATAATTTTATTATAAAATATTGGCTAAATTCCCTTTACTGTACATTATGTCTTTGTAGCTTATTTATCTTACTCTTAGTAGTTTGTACTGCTTAATCCCCTTCACCTACCTTGCCCCTCCCACTTGGTAAGAAAGCATTTTGAGTGGTACATCTGACTGTTCACTTTTCCTGGAAACAAAGATGGCCAAAGGTATGGATTTGCATTTGTATTCGTTTTCTAGGGCTGCCATAACATAGTACCACGAACTGGGTGGCTTAAATAATACAAATGTATTGTCTCAGTTCTGGAGGCCAGAGGTCTGAAATCAGGGTGTTAGCAGAGTTGGTTCCTTGTGAAGACTGAGAGGAAGAATCTGTTCCAGGTCTCTTTCCTCGGCTTGTAGTTGGCCACCTTCTCCCTGTATCTCTTCACATGGTCTTCTCTCTATGAGTATCTGTTCCTATGTTTAAATTTCCCCTTTTTATAAGGACATCAACCCTACTGGTTTAGGACCCATCCCAATGACCTTGTTTTAACTTGATTACCTCTATTAAGACCGTATCTTCAAATTAAGTTACATTCTGAGGTACGAGGGATTAGGATGTCAATATATCTTTTTCAGCGAGGACACAATTCAAACAGCATTTGTTCATGGAATAAAAAAGGAATAAGATTAGAAGGATAGTAACAAGAAAATCTGGGTATCATCTCTTGCTCTGAGCCTCTTATGAGGTGTTAATGTCATATTAAATTTCCCTCATTACATTATCCATTTATTCATTCCTTTACCAATAACTAGTATTTTTTCTTCTCTCCATTTAATCCCAAACTTTCCCACCTTTGGGAGGAACATTAGATTCAGCCACTAGGCTCATGCAGATTGCAGACAGCAATACTAGTCTAGCAAGTGCTTCTTCCTCTGTCCTCTCTTGTTCCCATGGAGTAAGGTACATAGATGCAGAACTAGTGGGCTGTCTCTACCACCAGGCAATATAGCTGCATTCACTGTTAATCCCAATTTTACCAGATGGGGTGAAGGTACATCCTGCCCCATTAGGCCCTTGAGAATTCTGACATAAAGTTAAAAACATAATTATAGTTCCTTGCTTAGGAATCCATTCATGCTTCCTGCCCTTTTAATTGCAGCCCTGGTCCTATGACCAATGCATCAAGCAGGAGGGGAAATAGAAAAAGCTGAGATTATGTGGAGAAGAAGGTATACCAGCACCTTCCCCAACCTTCCTGCTCCAGATCCACCAGGAAAACAAGAGAAATCTATTCAGTGGGGACACTCCTTTAGACCCCCTCATGTTGAGTGTGAGCACACAGTGGTGAAGGCGTGTAAGCAAGCCCCTCATGCTTTTATCTCTCCCTGTTTTAGACAACCAGTGTTTTAATTGCCTGTTCTAATTCTGTACCAAACTATTACTCTGAGGAGGATATATCTCTGCCCATCGTTGGACACTATGGGCTGTAAACTGAGGTCACTGGTCTGAAGAAATGATGATCAGCCATCCAAATTGATGGAATATCTTCTGTTCCAGTTCTTTCACAGTATTCTAACCACCAGGTAAGCAAGGCCCAGACCAGAATCAGTATCTATTCATGTCAGGACCCATTTACAAACCCCACAGGGCTACCAGTATCAGCCAGCTATATTCAAGGGCCTTCCCACCAGGAAGCTGGTCACACAGCTACCTGCAGTCTTTGTGTATTTTATTGGCAGTTCTTACTAGCATTTTGTTCCTCAGAGGGTGCAAGAGAAATATGTTTAGATTCAACCCATCTCTGCATAGCTGCAGACCCTCAAACTCATGGGCCCATGTGGCCACCTGAAGCAAGCACACGGGGATACCTGCTTGTTGATTACAGTAACCTTATAAACCTGGAAGGGAGCTCTTCTGATGGACATCAACGTGTCCTACTTTAATCCACCCCTCAAGTTTCCATAGGGCATCCCTTTAATAGGCCAGGTGTCCACTGCCCTCCTGCCTAACCTATGGCCAGGCCATTGGTCACTGTGCATAAGTCAGGAAAAATCTCTTTCCACTGTTCAATTCTTCCAACACTGCTGGGTAACAGAATGCAATTCAGCCCTCCAAGCTGATTTGTTTTTACCTTCTATCATCAGGGCGGTGGCCTTCCGAACAGGATGTTGTCCATTCACCTTGGAACTATCACCTCCAAACCCAGCAGCTCTTTGTCAGTCAGTCAAGGGCTCTTTATAGGGCACAGCCCATGTGACAACAGAATCCAGCAACTCCTCATGCAGTTCCAGAGTCAATACTAGGAGAAAAGAGGCTCCCTGCTGGTGAGTATCTCCTGCATTTCCCAGGCATCGTGATCCTGTATAAACCATTTCCATTTTATAATGGAACTCTTCTGGGCACTGCCATCCCCATTAGAGCTTTTCTCTGATATCACCCTAGACATTATGAGTGTTTCAGGTTTCAGATCATTTTATGTCCTTCATTCACCAATTAACATCTGATAGCAAGGGAGTAAATACCCCTCAAATGGTAATTCTCTTGTCCAGAGTCCCAGTAGTCATCACAGGGAGGCACTCACAGGCTCTTGCCATAAGCCCCAGTATACACTGAACACAGGGCTCTCGCACAGGGAATTTGTCCCCACCAGCGTTTCAGCTTCCCTTCCACACTGTGTGGTTCAGGCAGTCTTACTGATTCCCATTTAGTATCTCCAATTAATATTGCTTGAAGGGGTGGATGTACATGCCTTCTGTTTTGTAATTCTAGGTAGGAGAAATGTTCTCTGTCAGATACAGTGTCCATTCTCAAAATACAATCTGGTAAAAGAGATGCAACCACTTCACATAAAGCCTGTTCAAACATACCAATTCTCCTATAAATTTTTACTGTAATTCCAGGAACTTACATGTTCCTAGTGTAGACTCTAGTAGGACTGCATCCACAGGTTTTAATTTTACAATACTAGGTAAAGGAATTATTCCTCAGCCGTACGTAATATACATTCCTATAAAACATTCAGGTAAAGTTAACACAAGTCTTTACATAGCACATAATTCCAACTTTTGTAACCCTATCAACGATTACGTTTTGAAATAATCTTAATCTAATTGTAACCTGAGTTGGGGCTTCACCAATGGGTAATTTGGTACCACAGTTGAGTCCTGGAAACTTCTCTTCTCCAGTCCCTGACCATTTTGCCCACTCCAGTGCAAAAGACTTCGGGTCCCTGGTGAGGAGTCGAGCCAAGGGACACTGGCCCTTTTGTCAGTCTTGTAAATTTGCCTGCCATTGCCCCATATGATTGCTGGTCAGGTTTCTCACTGTAATTTCTACCTTCTGACTTTTTAAATTTCTTCAAACGGGTAAATAGAGTAGATTTGTTTGGGGCCCTTTAATGTTAGGAGACCAATGAGGAGGTCCCTTTGGCCCAACCAACCTTAGGTAGTGCTGTATTAAAACTTTTGTTTTAACCCCATCAGTGTCCATTTCATTCATCCCATTTTTTAATAACCATCTAAGGATTTTTTCCCTGCTGGGATGAGTCCTGTGACTCTTTTTCTTCTGTTTCCTCTTTGTTTGCTCCTATCAATACTCACTTCATTCATCTTATTCCCTAATAACAGTGTAAAACTTTCCACATTGTTGTAAAGAGTCCTGTGACTCCACCCTTGGCCTCTCCTATTCTCTTGTTAATTAACTTAATGTTTTTATTAGCATCTGTAAGGCCCAGTGAGGAGAAGCAGAGACAACAAATTTGGTGAGGTTTCCCGAACTGTTTTTTGATTTTGCAACGATAGGATTATACGGGATGCCCATGTGAAAGGGGCCTCTTTAACCACAAAATTTACCATGACCTGGGCAGCGGCCAAATATGCTGGTTAACATAAAGCCAGTCCCACTTGGCTTGCATATGAAGCATATCAACTGCTTCATCTGAAGTCTTCCACTTGGCATTCATGGGGGAAGATGAACAGTCCCCTCAGGGTAAACAAACCTTACTTTTATCCAGTCCATCAGACTGACTGTTCCCTTAGGAATAACCTCCTGTGTATCTGAATCACATGTTGTCAACTGTGATTGTTCCATAGTGAGCCATGGGCTCAAACATGCTGTGCTACTTTGCAGCACTCAAAACCAAAGACATAGCCCCCAAATGAGTTACTCTCACAATCCATTTCAGTAAAGGTTCTTCAGAAAGCTGATGATACTGATCTACAAAGTGTAACAATTTCTTTATAACCCTGGTTCCAGGAGTTTCTTGGTTTTGTCCTTCCCCCATGTTGACTACTTTCTTGGTGACCAGAGGTCTTAGATGTACTTTCTGTTGTCCCTGCACAATTTTTACAATGGGGACAGCTTTGAGGCTAGTAGCCCAAGCTCAGACTCACTGAAATCTGAGTTTGGACCAGCATCCAGGTCTAACTCAGCATTCTCTTTTACTGTTTAGCTATTACAGGTAACGATAACCAAGGGACTGTATGTTTGGCATGCTTCTTGTTATTTTGCACTTCCTTATATACCCAGTGATTCAGCTCCCCAGGATTTGGATTCATCTCTAAATTCTATTAGTAACTATTACCTTTAGTAACTGACTGCAGCACAGCTGCTGTTCCATACCCTGGGTGACCGTGTGGCCCAGGAATCCAAGGTTCTTCATCCCCTGACCTTTTCATCCTTTCTCTTCCCAAACCACATGCTTCCCTAAGCCAGGGCTAATTCTAGCAAATCCCACTTCACTGACACCAACTCTTTTGCGTTCTGAGCACCCAATTTCAGTGCAGGGAGAGGGGCTTTTCCTCCACACCTCCAACAAGCACTGTTCTGATACCAGGTGGTTATCCTCCAATTCAGCTCAATTCTGACACCATCTACCCAGAGATGGCATCAGATTCCATAGGTTGAGGGCTCAGTCCCACTAGACGGCTCCCCCCAACAACTTCAGATGCCAATTGCAAGCCCGAGTTGTTACCTGTGCTTCTGACCAACTGTCTACAGGTTGGAGGTTCCCAAGACCGCCCCCCTTAGATTCCAGATACCAGGGGCAAGCCCAGGTTACTACCAGTACTTCTGACCACCTGACTATAAATCAGAGGTTCTCATGACCACCTCCTTGGGTTCAGTTAATTTGCTAGAGCAGCACAGAACTCAGAGAAACATTTTACTTACTAAATTACTGGTTTATTATAGAAGGACATAACTCAGAAACAGCCAGGTGGAAAAGATGCACAGAGCAAGATATGGGGAAAGGGGCACAGAGCTTCCATGCCCTCTCCTAGTGTCCCACTCTCCCCAAATCTCCATGTGTTCACCCACCCAGAAGCTCTCTGAGCCCTATCCTTTTGGGTTTTTATGGCAGCTTCATTACACAGGCATGGTTGATTAAATCATTGGTCGTTGGCGATTAAACTTAATCTCTAGCCCCTCTTCCCTCCCCAGAGGGCAGGCATGAGACTGAAAGTTCCAACCCTCTAATCATATGGTTGGTTCTTCTGGCAACCATCATCCCATCCTTAGGTGCTGGTCCCAAAATCACCTCATTAACATAACAAGAGACACCTTTATTGCTCTCACCACTTAGGAAATTCCACGGGAGCTCTGTGTCAGAAACCAAGGACAAAAACCAAACATATATTTCCTATTATAAATCATAATATCACACTGGGTGAGAGAGATGTTTATAGAACTGTCTCAGAATGGGGCAGAGTGTGTAGATATATGTGCCTCATATGAATGCTCCCTAAATGCTCAACACCACAGTTGTGAATTTTAAAACTGAAATTAGAAAGTTCAATTATGTGGCTTTTTGCTTTAAAAACACTTACATAATGCTTACTATGTGACAAGCATAGTTCTTAGCACTTTACAAATATTAAATGTTTAATCCATAAGATATTGAACAGCCCTTCCCCACTATGCTAGCATTTGATGGGCCATGTACAAAGTGACCATGGTGGGGGGAAGGACATTATACAATAGATAGGTTCAACAAAATGAACATCTCTTCATCAAGAGATGTGGTTACCACCAACATTGCTGTGTGCCAATCTGTCATCAGCAGAGACCAATGTCAAGTCCATACCCTAGGGAGATAGCCAGCCACTGGATGTCAGGTTAATTACCCTGGACTCATGGCCAAGGCAGTGATTTGACCTCATTGACATAGACGTTTATTCTGGACATGGATTTGCCTTCCTGCCCTCAGTGCCTGAGCCAGCACCACCTCTATAAAATTACTGAAAAGCAAAATGGTTAGATAAAACTTTTTAACTCATGAAAGCATATTAGCTTTAATGCTTAGAGATTTATCTTTAAATAGATAAATACATTACATTTTAGCTTCTCATGTAAAAACACATGTAGCCATTCTTCCAAATACAAGTTTCAAAATAAGTTGTTTTATGTCTTTTATCAACATAAGATTTATATTTTAAAATTAATCAAATAATTTTAAATGGCTTTAATTAATTGGCTGCTTGGAGTATATCTTTTCCAAATATATTGATGGGGTTCAGGATACACTACCCCAAAACACCTTAGCATACTGAATATTTTAAGCTGAAGGAATTTGAGAAATGGCATGTGCATGAAGGACTTTCTGGCCCTCCCCTGAAGCAGGTCATAAAACCCTCAATTTGGCCGAGGTGGGGGTTCCTCTATACCTGGAGGAAAAGTGCATCCTTATCTCTGAAGACAAAGGGACATAGAGAGGAATCTGAACAAAGAGGCCTTGCTAAATTCCTCCAGTTTATTATACTCAGCTCAAACCTTTCATCTTAATGTGTTTTCCCATGACTTTCCCTTCTTCGTCAAAACTAATATAAAAACACTCAGGTTTAACTATTTCTTCCAGTGTGCATTTCCTTATGAAGGTCCCAAGTCACATAAAACTTAAATAAGTTTTTATGCTTTATTCTTGTTAATGTGTCTTTGTTACATGGGTCGCAGATAAGAACTTAGAATTATAGAGGAAAAGGTGTTTTTCCTTTCCTATAATACATTGAGACCAAATTAAACATCCTTTTATAACTTTCTCTAGTTGATAATCCATTTACATAAATATAGAACTCAAATGTCATAACTCTTAGAAGAATCAAATTCTTGTCTTTAAGTACAGATTTACACATATTAAAATACATTATAATTTTAACATGATAAATACAGAATAAACATAGATAAAAAAACTTAAAGTTGTAATTAACTCTGAATTTTAAATTCTATAATACCTCCTGCCATCTTCTGATCAGAATCCTGGTTTTTTTTTTTGCTAGATGAGTATGCATATGTAAAGGAGTTCTCTGGGGACAGATATGCCACTTTTATTTCTTAAGAACTTTGACACGTAGCACTTTCTGTTTACCTTAAGAGTCCTTAAGACTCTTCAATCAGTATTTCCACAAGCATATTCTTATATCTTCAGGATATGTTCATTGAGATTGGAAAATCTATCTCCTGTGGTCCTCAAGGATATACCTAAGATGCAAAATCTTGTCTCAAGTTATTTATAATGAATCCATTTTCATTAAGAATCTATAGCTTTTACATGCACGTTAGATATGCCGAAGTTCAAAGCATTTCTTAGCCTCCATACTTTAAACATGAAGTATTTCTACTTTTCAGCCTAGGTTCAACCTGAGTGAATTTGGGTTTACCCAGGGCACTCTTATACACTCAGGGGAAGAACACGGTCAAACTAAGTTCACCCTTGGGTCAGAGATTCCATTTTACTGAGATTTTATACCTTTTGCCTGGGTAACTGCACTTGGGAAAGTGGATTACCCAGACATCTCAAGGCAGGTGACATACAGTTCTTGAGAAGCCTCTGATAAGAGGTGACCTAAAATACCATAATGGTCCTCCAGTTATAACAGAGGGTTATATAGATCAAGAGATGAATGGAATTTAGGCCCATATCCATTTCAAAATGGGTTCAAAGAATCCACAGACCTGCCATGTGATTATTTCCCAGGTCCCTGAGTGTTCAATTGGAATAGATATACTCATCAGCTGGAAGAACCCTGTGCAAAAAAGAGTTACTGTGGCAGGCCTAATACTCTAACCCTAGAAAACCATGCTTGCAAGATTGGCCTTGGCTGTTATCTGGAAACTTGAATTTGAGGAACATTTCCACTGTCCCTCACTACTCACTGGCTTTCTTAGAATTCTGAATTCACAGATCCTAATTGCCTGGGCCTGACCCTAAGCTAAAATCTGATACTACCTTCTAAGAGCCATTTCAGTTTTAGTATGAGCTGTGCTAAATGGAAAGCAGGCCCAGGGTCAATAAAGGGATCATGGACTCTGTGACTGTTGCAGATTGAGGTTACCCCTTTGTGGGGCCTTAAACAGTGACAATATCATGGATGCTGCCTGGACCATTTGAGCCACTTATAGATGCCCACAGGAAAGGGCTAATTTTCTGATGAAGCCGTCTGAAATCAAGTTGCTAATTATCTCTATGTTTCTGATGTAGAGGGAGATACAGAGACTGCATTTCTAACTTGTGAGTACTGTGGAAAGCTGCAAGCTAAGGGAAGGCACATCACAACAACTGTGACCCCTCCACCCAGTACGGACAGATCAGACTCTGGACCCCTAATGGGGGGGATGTTTTAGTGCTGCTGACTTAGGTTCAGATTTCTAGATTGGCTGCAGTTTCCCTCAGTGAACTGATAGTGTGACTTATTTCCCTTACCTTTTTCCTGGTACACACATCTTATTAAGGCAATTTGACTTTTAAATATAATTGTTTCCAGAAAGAGATTGATCTGTGTAAATCCATTTTGAAATCCTTTGAAAATTTAGTCTATCATCATGACCAATTCCTTAACACAATATGACTTTCTAAATTAAGTTATATAAGTGGGGAGGGTACAGCTCAGTGGTAAATTGCGTGCTTAGCATACACAAGGTCCTGGGGTTCAATCCCCAGTACTTCCATTAAATAAATAAACCTAATTACCACCCCCCCAAAAAAACAAACAAAAAAAGAAAGAAAAGAAAATCAGCTATACTTCAATACAAATTTCTTAATAAGTTAAGTTACATAAAAATGTTTTCTGTGAAAATGCCTCTGACCCTTTTGCATACAACCCTTCCAGACAAAAGATCTGAGTAAGTCTATGGGATGACTAAAAAAAATCAAGTTATAATTGCTGAGTGGGACACATTGGTTTGTTTGTTTGTTTGTTTTAGGGGAGGGAATTAATTTGATTGATTGATTGATTTTTTAGGGGAGGTACTGGGGATTGAACCCAGGACCTCATGCGTGCTAAGCATAAGCTCTACCACTTTGCGCTATACCCTCCCCACACTGGTTTTTTAACAATGAAGAAAATACATCTAGTACCTGGGGAGGCACAGATTCAGAGGACATTAATGATCTTTTTTTTTTTTCAGAACTGTTCCTGGAAGCTTCCCTCTCTTCTTGAAGGTAAACTCCACAGGCTGCCTTCCTAAACTGCTGTGAGCATTCTGAATTCAAACGGACTGCTGAGCCCACAACCACACCAGGCGGCACTGACTATGAGGCAGCAGAGAATGGCTCCAGCTCCCGCACTTCCCATGCAGAATGCTTCCAGATGTTGTCCGTACACAGGAGGTGGAGAAACTGATATTATAGACAAGCAAGACAGCTTGGAACTGACTGTCTTGGGAGGTCCCTTTCAGACTGGATTGTTTGGACTGAACTATCATGATACTGCCTCTGCCCTACAAGGCATTTGAGTCAGCTTCAACGTACCAACCAGAGTTGTGCTGTGTCTGAGTTGATGCCTTGGGCCAGGTAAAAAGGTTACAACAAAAACTGAAGCAGGAAGATACCTGGCTTTCTAAGATAGGCCTTTATGGTTAGTGAGATTTGTTTAACTGGCCAAATCTAGGACCTGCAACTGCTGTACTTAGAAAGACCTTCTGGCAAGGTTGGCCCTTTGTTTGCATCTGGGATTTGGATTTTAGGAGTGTCCCCAACATTTCATAACTGATGTAGGTGGTTTATTGTGCCCTAACTGTATATACAGACGATGTAGTTTATGCTAGGCAGGGGATGCCCATATGACCAGCACCCAATAAAACCCCTCGATTTCTAGACTCAGGTAAGCTTCCCTGGTAGACAACACTTCATATACATTGTTAAAATTTGATGCTGGAAGAATTAGCACATTCTATGTGAATCCAAGGGGAGAGGATTCTTAGAAGTTTGTATCTACTCTCCTCCAGACTTTCTCCTGTGCACATTTTCCCTTTGCTGATTTTTCTTTGTATCCTTTTACTGTATTCCTTTACATACTCATATACATGAGTATGATTACATGCTGAGTCTCAGGAGTCTTTCTAGCAAATCACCAAACCTGGGGATGGTCTTAGGGACCTCCAAGGCCAAACCCTTTCATTTGTTCCCTGACCGGTAGAGTAAGAAACATTACAGCAGAAAACCTGAAATATCCCTTTCCCTAACCAAGATAGTAGATCATAAGTAACACTGCATCCTAATAAGAATTTCAGAGATTAGCACTACATCCTAAAACTTAAAGCATGCAGAGGTAATAGTCTGCATCATATCCGCATTTACTTCACCTATTCACCCCGACTATGATGGCTCATAGTGATGACAATGGACTGCAATTTACTGAACCAATTAGTTGCTCCAATTACAGCTGCCATACCAGTGGTTATCTTTACTGAAGTAGATCAATATGACCTTTAGCACTTGGTAGGTGGCTGTTTTCCTGATGAACGCATTCATCTTAAATCCATCAGTGAATGAAGTCAGAAGCAGTTCATCTACTCATTACAGGATAGCAAAACACATTCACTGTCTTGCCCCAGAGCTATGTGAACTCTTTCACTTTCTTTTGTAACATACTCCACAAAGACCTCAACATTGAACCTTCCGAAGAACATAATGTTAGACTACTGTATTGATGACATTGTGCTAATTGGGCCTAATGAGCAGTAAACAAAAAGGACCCTGGATGACTTAGCAGGCCCATGTATGTCAAAGAGTAAAAGATTAGCCCCATGAAAATTAAGGGGCCTGCCCCATCAGAGATGATGCTAGGGGCCTGGGCATGCCAGGAAATTCCCCTGAGGTAAAATACAAGTTATTGCTTGCATCCCCTGCCACTAAGGAAGAGGCACTGTTTTGGGGGACCTCTTTAGATTTTAGAGGCAATATATATCATATGTGGAACTCAAAATGCTGCAAGGTTTAAGCAGGGCCTGGAGTAAGAAAAAAGATATGTAGGAGATCAAGGCTATAATACTAGCCAATCTAATGTGACCTAGTCAATCTGAAGTTGCTAGAAATGCCCATGGTGATTAAGGATGCTGTGTGGAGTTTCCAGGAAGCCACAGTAGGAGAATTATAATGCAAACATTATAGTGGAGATCCATGCCTTCTATAGCAATTAACTTCTCTGTGTTTATATAGATGCTGTCATGCTCCTGAGCCCTAGTAGAGACTGAGTGGCTGACTATGAGACACTAAATGATCATCATGCCATCAGAGGTGCTCATCGTGGGCTGGTATCATCAGAGCCTTAACCTTAAACATAAGGTTAGGTAGGTATAGGAGCTGAGCAGTGGCAAATGAATTTGCTGGTTGGCTTAGCACCTGGAAGCCTGTGGCTTAGCACAATCATTATATTAGAGACAAGAAAACTGATTTACTGAACAAATATAAAGGATCAAATTCAGCAAGTATAAAATGCATGTTATTTTCTTCATAATTTATAAAAATTGACTATATTGTATGCAAAAAAAGTTTCAACCAATAGCTAAAGAGGGAAATTATATGAGCATATAATCTGACCACAATGAAATTAAGCTAGAAATTAATAACAAAAAACATGTTTAGAATATCCCTATGTTTGGAAATGTTAAAATTCAATTAAAAATAACCTGTGGGTTGAAGAAAGCATCACACTCAAATTAGAAGTTATTTTGAACTGAATTATTTTGATATATCATAACAAAACATGTAGGATGCAGTTAAGCGGTATTTAGAGAAAAGCCAATAACCTGGAATAAATACATTAGAAAAAGGGGAAGGCTGAAGATTAATGAGTTAATTATCCTACTCAAGAATGAAAAAAACAAAAGACAATAAACCCAAAAGAGGACAAGGAAGAAAATAATTAAAAAGAAAGTAATGAAATATCCAAAAGAGAGAATCAAAATATCTAAAAGTCCATTCTTTGAAACATTAATAAAATTGCCAAATCTCTGGCAATATACAATAAAACTAGAGGGAAGACACAAATAACCAATATCTTAAATTGAAATGGGAATAGCAACTCAAATATTGTAGACACAGGCAATAAAAAGGTAATAATAAAATATTATACACACGACTATGCCAACAAGCTAAAAAATTAACTGGAATAAACAAACTCCTAGGAATAATATATTAACCAAACTGATTCATCAAGATTAGAAAAAACAGAAGAGTATGATAACTATTAAGTAAGTTTAAATTGTGGACTAGCTGATTGTGAGTACTACAAATAATTCAAGGAAGAAATAATTCCAATCTTATACAAATTCTACCATAGAATAGGGAGAAAAAAAGGAGAAATGTTCAATTAAAAACGGTTATCCATACAGGAAAAGATTAAACTGGGTCTTAATTTGAAAATCAACTCCAAATGGATCTAAGACTCAAATATCAAAAACAAAAACAACTTTCAAGTTCTTGGTGGAAAATACAGGTAAATATATTTTAGACTTTGGGATAGAAATAAGTTCTTTAAAAAGATAATGACCATAGAATAAAAGATTAGTACATTTGTAACAAAATCAAGAACTTTCATTCATCAACAGACATTTTAAGATGTGAAAAGGTACAAACCAGGAGAGGATACTCACCATATACACACTGACAAAGAATTAATATGAAGAATATATAAAGAATTCCTGCAAACTAATGTAAACAAAAATAACAATTGAAAAATGATAAAAGATGTGAACAGACTTTTCACAGAAGAAACATATAACCAAATAGACACACAAAGGGATATTATTTTGCTGTAATGAGAGAAATACAGATCAAAACCAAGATAAGATAGATTTTTTTACACGTTTGACAAAATTTTAAGCGCCTGACAATGCCAAATATTGGAAAGCATGTGGCTACAAGAGATTCAGTCTTATATATTGTGAGTATGAAAATCAGTGCAAGTACTTTGCAGAATAGTTGAATATTATCTATTAAATTTAACAATTACTCCTAGATAAATACTTGAGAGTGCCAGAATTTATATTTCTAGTTGTATACCCAAGAGAAATTCTTGCACATTTACATCAGGAGGTAGATAGAATATTTCCATTGACAATGGGCAATAGGAGCAAAAATCAGGAAACATTCCATATGCCTGACAATGGAACGAATAAACTACGGTATATTCACAAAATGGAATGTTTTACAGTAGCCTAAATAAATGAACTCCAGTAATACAAGATTATTGGACTTTAACAGTAAATATTAAGTGAAAAAATATAAGTACCAAAGAATCATATACATTATTTTATCCTTACTATAAAATTTAAAACAACTAGATGAAAAATATATATGGGGGGGGTAACATATAATACAGGAAAAACATTTGAAAGAGCAAAGAATGATGCATATAGAATTCTGGATGATATCCTCATTTGGTGGGGACCAGGGAGAGGTGGGAGGGACCATTTGTATGGTTAGATGTAGATTACTACCAAGGTCCTCCTTTGTGAGGAGGTGATTTGTTCACAAATTCTTGTTACTATTTTGATAGATAATTACATATATAGATAAGCAGCTAAATGATATTGGAAAGGTAAGTACATAAAAAATGCAGATCATGTATGGACTATGATGACAGTTTATCATAATCCAGTTCTGTGAACTTGAGGTCCAATAGGATAAAAATAAAACAAAACAGCACATGTGATAGAATAGAAAGCACACTGAATCTCCAGTGAAGTATTCCTGCCAAAAATGTTTAAACTCAAACAAGCCTTTAGACTTCCAAGGAGTGGAAGTCCTGAAACCCAGGAGCTTTCCTGCCTACTTCTAGGTGGTAAGAGAGTGGAATCAACTAGGAGGAAAAACGCCTGTATATAGAGCAAGGCTCTTATCAACGTGCATCAGCTTTGACTACAAATGGCAAAGTGAAGTGGAAAGGCAAGTGTAAAAAGAGAAGGAGAGAATAGAAAAATAAAGAGCAGTGTGCTAAAATCCTTAAATCCATTACAGAAGACAGTCATGGCACCGCAACAGCCTCTGAGCCCAGAACTGAAGACTAACCCTGCTGTGAGGCCTCTTCACGACTAAATGAGCACCTGAGTCCGAGAAGATTCCCATGACTGGTGCCAAGGAGATAGGGGAGGACTTTTGTGGGCGATATCTCCAAAAACCTAGATCAGGGACACAGAGCGTGGAGAAGAGTTTTCCATTCTTCTAAAGGCAGAAGGGACCCTTTGTTCCCAATGCACACCCAAAAAGCCATTTGTAAATCAATCAGCAAAGAAGTTAAATGGAAGGATGCCCTGATTAATGTCTGCTGAGAGTCCAATTTGCTGAGGAGGACCCAGTGAAACTGACTTAGGCTGGTGCAGAAATTCTCACTATATAGACAATTAATCTGGCTTCCCTGTAGCAGAAATAATACTCTTTCTGGGGACAATTTTTTCCCTTACAGAATGTGCAGGATTGTTAACAGATCTCAATTTTCTACAAAACTACTTACCCACCTGTGAAATTTTTCATCTCAAGGTGCAGACTAAAGCCAGCAATGCCCAATGTTGTGAACTAGTTTTGAAAAAGCCATGATATCTGCTGCAACAAAAAGAACATCAGAACAATGACCTCCACCAACCTTAAAGAGGTAGGGACACCAGAAGAGTCTAGTCTGCCTTTTAAACATCATGGACATCATTCACAAGGAGCCTGTATTTAAGTGCTGGCATTAGGAGGGAGCTAAAAACACCATGGATGGTGGAGTTCAAAAGGCAGGCTGCAGATTTGGATGATAATTCCAACACTAAAATAATTTGCTTTCTAAAAAGATTCTCAGAGAAGATGTCTGGACCATTCCATATGAACCTGGAGAGATCAGAGACACCAGAGAGTCACAGACTTTGAAAACAGGGATTTTCAAAGCTCAGATTTAGGCATCAGAAATATGGATTTGATCAATTTAAATCTTAGAAATAAATACCATCTGCATTCTGCTTTAATCCAGGCCTGCTTGAATGAAGCCCCACTAAGTAGCTGCTGACTATTTATGTATGTAATATATAACTTAAATGTATAAATAAAGTAAAGTAGAAAATTGTTTTCTTTTAAAGAAAAAATAAATGGAAGACCAGCTATTGCTCTGGAGCTTACCTGGCATAAGACTGAGCATCCTTTCCCACAAATGTCTGCCGCAGCCCCCATTTGTCAACATCTCATTACCCTGACCCTCTTGCCTCTGGCAATGTGGCTAGAGTTACCACAAAGGCATCACAAATAGCAAAAAGATGAAGGAACTAGAGATTCCATGTCAGTTTTATGTTCTGCCAGCAATGATAGACATGCTATGGAATATTAAGACTGGGAGCCAGCCTGTTTTCAGCTTTACAGGCTGCTTAAGAACACTTCTTAATGAAAGAAGCTCTACTGGTCTGGATCAGCAAGGAATGATGAGGCTTACCTTAATGATGACAAGAATGACCATGGGGTCAAAGAACAGGTGCTCATCACAGGTCTGTGGGGATCAGATGAACTACGGTTTTTGGTTTTGGTTTTTGTCCGTGCCTATATACATACATATAGCATAGTTTAATAAAACGGCTTTTCTTATGTTTGATTTATAAAGTCATATCCTATATGTAGTCATCAATAAAATTCACTGATGGCCAGTACCAAAGTTAGAGGGTTCCAACTCTGTAAAAAAAAAAAATGACAAGGAGTTATGGACCCTGAGGTAAACTTAAGGATGGGTCAGCCCTAACATTAATCATTGTGGACTGCAAGCAGTAAGTTCTGTCTAGTTCTGTCTGAGAGGAGAGGGTTTCATCCACTAGTAATGTCACTTGATCATCACCAGCGAACAAAACATTCTCTTGGCTTTGGCACCCTGTGTTCCCTGGGTTTCTGACTGGTGAAGACAGGGAGAACAGTGAATGATCTAAAGTGGGTCAACATCCCCTAAATGGGCCAACAGTACATCACAGAATCCTACCCGGGGCCAGGACCCAGAGACTGGAAGCTAAGAACTGTTGTGAGCTACATGGGTCTTCATCAAAGCATAGCACAGCCCCATCCCTCACTTCTTCCTCAGTCTAAAGTTCAGCAGAGAGGAGGCTCTTTGGGAGAGGAGAGGAAGGAAACTTGGTACAATAAGGGCCAGGATATGTCCCAAAGGCTTAATGCTCTAGGCCACATTAAACTAAGAGTGTGGAATATGAGCCCACTTTGAAAATGAACAGCATAATTTTAAGAATAGAGGATCCTGGAGAAATTCAGGATGCCTCATCTGAAACTTTAACTCAAGAATGTGGAAGCAACATCAGAATGTAGGTATATTCTCTTTAAAATCTAGATGGGAAAAAAGATGAAATCTTGCCATTTGCAACATCACGGATGGACCTTGAGGGTATTATGGTAAGTGAAGTAAGTCAGACAGAGAAAGACAAATACCGTATTATTTCACTCATCTGGAATATGAAAAACAAACAAAAACCAAAATAAATGAACAAACCCAACCCAAACAAAACAAGCATGTAGTTACACAGAACAGAGTTGTGGTTATCAGAGGAGAGGGATGGGAAGAGGGCAAAGTGGATAAAGGGGCTCAACTCTATGGTGATGGATGAAAAATATATTTTTGGTGGTGAGTACATTATAGGGTATACAGTAGAAAAATAATGTATAGATGAAACAATGTTACATCAATAAAAAATAAACACTGTAGATGCAAAAAAAAATCAAGATGGGTATTTTGGTTTTCACACACACAAAAACTTTTTAAAAACTTTTAATTGGCTAGTATAGTGCACATGTTAAGCAGAGTTTTAAAGAGACCCTACATCTTGAATGGATTAAGCAATCATTTATAACCATCTTCATGAATCATAGTTAATTGTTTTCACGGGGACATGAGATTAAACATGGAACCAAACTGTGATTTACTCACAACACATAATCAACCAAACTGCAGACACATGTGCAGATTTATGCAAAAGTCCCGGTACAACTATATTTACCCTTTGAGATTAAGTACATAGAGCCACCCACTCACTCTGATATCCCACTAAACATAAGAGCAACAACTTTTCTATTTCAATACAATTATAGGCAGAAACTATATGACATAAAACAGAAGTGCTTCCATAAAGTTTAAGATTTAGAGTATAAGAAGAGAAGACAAAAACAAAATTTCCATGAAGTCAAAAATAATTCCGCATTGGTCCGGTGCTCCATGAAACCGTGAGATAAACTGTAGTCCTCAAAGATGTGTACTTGGATCAGAGTTCACCAAGACACTTCAGTATGCTTCAAAGTGGCTCATCATCATCTTCCTGCTGTATTCATAAGCCAAAAACAGTGACCCATTGGCAGGGAACGCTCGAACCAAAGTAGCTTTCAATCCAGAATATAAGGTTGCTACTCCTTCATTTTTCACAACACTTACAAGAGTTCTGATAAATCCTGCCTGTTTTCCAAACATGGAAAGAACCTGAATTCTGGATTTGATACAATCCACGGGGTATATGACAAGCCAAAGACAAATTCCAGCAATACCACCACTTAACATCAAGGGAACAGGGCCAAGTTCATCTTTGGATCCTCCTGAAGCAAAAAATGATCGGCTCAGTTCATACCCACCGAAGAAGAAGAAGTAGCCCGGTACTTCTTGAAGTAGAGTGCTCGAAAGTCCACGGTAGAAGCCCAAGGGTCCATCCTTTCTAAGGATACTCTTCACGACGGACCAGACTGTATTATGGCTTTTTGCTATCCTCCCTGACATCTCCATCTCGTGCATGGTCTGCAGCCGGCACTTCACAAGCTCAGTGGGGCACAGGGCCAGCGCGGCAAACGCAGAGGCGAAGGAACCCGCGGCCGCAGTCTGCAGATCACTCAACTTTGCCTGCTTGTCCAATCCAACCACTTTCCTCACAAACTGCTGGCAGAAGCCGTAGCACATAAAGAGGACGGAGTTCTCTGCGACATAGGCCATCAGCGCTGGGCCCGTCCCCTTGTAGAAGCCCCGCAAGCCCACTTGGGAGTACGTCTTCAAGCAGCAGTCGATGAGGCCCTTGTACAAGCCAGGGAACGTCTGCATCTTCACTTTCATGGTGTCGAAGGGCTGCCCGGTCAGGACGCATGCTGTGCCCCCGAGGGCCCCCGCGGTGAGGTCGATGGCGGCTTGGATGGCAGGATTGGACTCCATGTTCGCCCACCGATCTGCTGGTCCCCGGGAAAGGCCACTCTCTGCAGCCTAACACGGGCGTCTTATGTCCCGCCGCCCACTCTGGACTCTCTCCCCCGCGGGAGAAGCCGCTTAACCCCAGACTAGGCCGTCCTCCGC